GAAGAAAATACATAGAAGAAGATGGTAGTGATAAATGTAAATATGACATAGGTATAGCCTCCCTTATGCCAGAGATGTCCAACTAATTTTTATTTTCAATGTGATCTCAAGAATTTAACTTCCAAAAAACAGAAGCGAATAATAGACAAACCCTCCTCTTCAGACTGATCTTTCTTTTTGCCTGTCTAATTCATTGTCTTTAAAGGAAATTGACACCCAGATTTGAATAAGGCAAGACTCATATGAATGATGTCATTCAAGAGGGAAATTATTTCTTTTTCTGCTTCATTGTACTTGGTGGTAATTTATGATCAGTGGTGACAATCAGATCATTCCAATAAATCCATGTTCAGATTTAAAACCATAAATTAACTGAAAGTTACTGCAAAGTGTGCCCCATTATATGTTTTGTTCTCAGACTTTAGAAAACTGGCAGGGGTCCCCCTGTGGTCCTTTCTCACACAGGAATATCCTGCCCTGCTGTATACAAAGGTCTCATTGATTGCAAGAGTGGCTGCACTTCTATGCAGGGCCAAAGGGTTGGGAATCCAGGAAATTCTCAACTGGTTTAACAAGAATAAGTGCCACACCTTCTCCAAGTTCCACAGTGAACAAGCCACAAAAATTGGGTCTGCAGTGAGAAATGGGGAAAAGGAGGGCAGTGCCTTCAGGCAACTGGAGCCTGAGAGATGAGAGTTCAGATAGGATCAAATGCATATCTCAGGCCATTCTGTTTCACTCCAGTCTCACATTTTCCCTAAGATTTCTTCCTGCCTGAAGATAAAGAGAGAGAAAGCACATTCCACAATCCCACAGGCCCTCCTGCCCTGATGCTGAAGCCCCCTCAGCAGCACGACTGTGAATTAGATTCCCCCCCTTTCCCTCCCTGATTTCTTGAACTTTTTCTTTTAGGACATTGAGGAAGTCACACTCACCGAGTCAACTGGGCAGGCTGTCACCACCCTTTTATCCAAGGCCTTCATTTCATTGTTACCCTTCATGGCCTCCCCACTTCCATTGGTCTCCTTCAACCACAAGCAAGAGTGCTATTATTGTGTGGCTCTGTCACTAGGATCCCCAAGACCCCACTGACACTGGGGTACATATCGCCATCCAGCCCCTTGGGAGCTCTGTCTGAGAGTTTCTCTGGGCTCGACTCCCACTAACAGCAGAGTCGGCTGGTGGAATTCGGTTGGTCTTCCTCTGGCTGCCCTGTTTGGTGCACACACCATGGCGACAGGATCAGGTTCATATCATACGAATGGGAGAAACTGAGGCTGGAAGAGGTTAAATGGTACACTTCATTTCTCATAGCTAATCCCCATGGTTTGGATGTGTTTGGCACGTGTCAACCAAGGGTTGAATGAAATTCTACACTTCCAAGGACAATGAAGTATTGGGAGCTTGGTCCTCAGGGTGGCAATTTGGGGAGGTGGTGGACTGGGAGGTTGAGACTGGCCCTGTTCCTCACTCTGATTTCATGTCTGGCAATATGGTCTTTACCACATAGCATTCACACTACCATGATGCCAGCTGCCATCAGGTGACACAGCCAGAGGGCTTTCACTAGAGCTGGCACTATACTGTTTAGATTTTTGGCCTCCCAAACTGTGAGCTAAATAAACCTCTTTTCTTGATCAGTACCCAACCTTGGGTATTTTGTTACAGTAACATAAAAGTAATAAAACATTAGTTAAGAGCTTGAGTCAGGATTCAGGGCTAAGCTTYTCTGACTCTTTGGCTCACATTCTTGTGAGCTATACCACATTACCATCCATGGTGATCTTATGATTCAATGACATGGACTAGAGGGTGCAAGGACACACAGTGAGGAATCCTTTTCATAAGAAAGCCAGAAAACTTTTCCTTCCTTTCAATAGGCATCCATCCCCCAAACTCCATGCCTTCACGTTTGCTGGCAAAAGAAAGCAGATCATGCCACAAGACCCTTGTATAATCAGAGGGGACAGTGAGCCCCATTGGCTGGGAGCCAGGCAAGCTTAGTCCCCTCACACCCCTGAAGCCAGAAGATTAACATCTGCCATCTGGCAAACCAGAGGCTCCCATGCAAACTGCAAACACCCCCTCCCCTCCCCGGGTGACTCACTGCTATGCCCAATACCAGTCAGGCCCAAGGAAACTTTGATGGCTCAATTAATGAAGATGAAAACTTGAGATATGCCAAACACAGATTAAATGGCATCTTGGTAACATGATTATCTCTGAATTACTAGCTACATAGTGAGTCAGACAAGTGACTAATCCTGAGCAAGGCTGGGTGCTGTGGACAGGGGATGAACTATTTCAGGTCTTTGGGACAGAATTTTAGTAAATAGAACAGGCCTGAATGTCTTCTTGTATCATAGATGTCACACTTCTTCAGAGAAGATTTAATTTCTTAAAGTTCTGAGGTTCCAAACTCAGAATGATCGGTAATAAGATGAGCAGGGAATGTGTTGGGGAAAAAGAGAGAGAGAGAGAGAGAGAGAGAGAGAGAGAGAGAGAGAGAGGAGAGACAGAGAGAAACAATCACAAGAATCTGGCAAACATTCATGTCCTGTGGATAAGATCAGCAGAAAGCAAAGGTTAAGAATGATACAGAGAGCAGTCAAAAAACTACAGGTAAAGTCTTGTCTCCAGCTTCTTTCCACCTGCTTTTAGCTCACTTCTATTTAGTAAGCTTTTCTACCCTGGTCCTTTAATGCATCTCTGTGAGCTAGACACTGCTCTTCTATTTTCTATGTCATAAAATTAAGTCTTAAAAGTGTTAGTAACCTCTCTGAGGTTGAATACCTGCTAATTACCCAAACTGAGGATCATTCTATGCCCAAAGTTAGGAAATGCCATAATTTGACTTCCCAATTTTAGGGATCTATGGAGACTTTTGAAAGCATTCCAAGGATTATCTTCAAGACGAATGAAAAGCCACCCCCAAAATGGAAGTTAAGAAAATTTCACCTTCTTTAAAACAGAAGATGAGGACTTGTCAAGTGGTGATAACGTTGGAGGAATGAGTTTGTCAGTGAATGTCTATGATTCAGTGAATAAAATGTCTCAATACCTAGTTGGAATTGTGTAAGAAAGTCCATACTTGTCTGCTCTGGGATGAACTATGAAATCTCCAAGAATCACGTTTAACCTCTAAATGACTAGCAATCTTTTTAGAGTTTAGTCATAAGATGTCCAGGATAAGAATTGGTGGCATGATGCATGCTCTAAATTGTGCCTTACATAAAGCTATGAAAATACATCTTGCAAAATCCCATACTTCCTCCTTTCTGTCCCACATATTTCCATGCAGGAAAGAGTGAAGGAAACCCTGGTTTTTAGACTTCTGATACATTGTACCTATTTCAATCAGATGTATAATTGTGGTAGGATTGTTATTGTTTACTTTTCACACTGTCACTAGCAACTTTAATTTTCAGTTAAGTTCTTAAAAATCCCTTTCTGGAAAAGTAAATGAGATCACATTCTCCATTCTCCTGGTTAACAGTGTCATTATCACACTGCAAATTCTCAAACAATCAACTAAATTCCATTGTCGTTCTGAATCCCTACTCTTTCTTTTGTGATGCATTCACAAACTTATTCAGTCTTCTGCCTTCTCAATGGAGAAAATTTTATAGAAACTACTATAAACGGTGCATAATTGTAAATAGCTTTAAAAAGCCATATGGAAGGATGAATAATTTTCCTTTTTGTTCCCATCTTTCTTAAATATTCTCTTGCTTTATGTTTTGCAATACCTTTTACACCCAGCTTTGGTCAAAATTGTTGTTGGACATTTGCCAGTTTGAAATGTCCTACAAAATGAATTGCTTCTTTTGTAAATAAGAAAAAAACTCGGTAACTTTGAGAACTATTGCTTCAAAATACTTTCTAAAGTTATAGCTAGCTGGGAGCACTTTCTTTGGGGGCAAAGGAGTGTGGTGAGTTTATTGTCTGTTCCGCATGTATAAATCATGATCCAGATAATATTTTGTGCTTGCCTTCATGTCTTCTAGCAGCTATAGTTTGGAGCATCACAAATATTCTTTTAGGAAAGCATCATATATTTCCTGAGTCAGCAAGGTCTTGCATTTTGGGTTAAATTGTCAAATAACACCAGAACAAGATGAAAACTGAAACAATTTTTTAAAAGTATTTTTTAGCTGTTAATAGACTTTTATTTTATTTAATTATATGTGATGCTGAGAATCGAACCCAGTGCCTCACACATGCCAGGCAAATGCACTAACACTGAACCATAGCCCCAACCTGAGATAATTTTTAACCACTAATTTCATGGTTGGGGCTAAATGAAGACACCATAATATTCAAGTCAATGAACTCACCCACTCGTATTGGCTTCCTTTTCTTACTTTTTACTCTAAGAGATTAATTTATTCCTCTTAAAATTTATACATCAACCTCTTCTAATGCTGTTCTGGTGAGGTAACTTCTGATTTGGTCACACTATGTTCTTTCCCATATCCTACCCTGTGCTTCTCAGAATAAATATCTCCAAGATTGAGGACAAATATTACAGTTGTGAGCTTATTCTCAAAAACCAAGTAAATATCAAAATTAACTCAATAATGCACTGCACAATTTGCACAGAGGGCATGTTATCATACAAAAGATCTTTGTACTTTTTAGACTCACATTTAAAAAAAAAAGAGTTCTCTGTTTTTACCCATTGAAATGAACTGGTAGATATGCATATATGTATTAAGTCTCCACACATGAATTAAGATAACTTTCCTCACAATACTTTTCTTTCTAACATACACTTCTTCTTGAATCATATAATTTAATATTATATTCAAATTTATGAGGATAAAATGAAAAAAAATATTTTGAAAAGATTAACCACTTAAGGAAGGATTGGTCAATTAAAAAATATAGCTGTACTTCCCTCATGATGAGAATTATTATTTTACCTCAAAAAATTAGCTGAAATAAGGTGGGGTTTTGTTGTTGTTGTTGTTTTTTTTTTTGGAGGTATCTGGGCAGGAAATTTTACACAAGCTGTAAACAAGAGGCATCTGATCCTCCACTCTAATGAAAATGCAGTCAGTCATAGCTACACCTAGAAGAAGAGACAAAACATGCAAAGGACTTGAATATTTCACAGATTCCCATCAAAAATCAGCTCATGCACAACCTATAATGAGAAGAACCAAACTCATCAATGAATGAGATGTAAAAAAGCATCAAGCCTTGTTGATTTTAAGTCTCTCTGCCACAGACTTTTAATATCATCTTAAGAAAAATCAGTTTAAATGTCTATCTAAATTCAGAAGAAAAACATCTTGGCTCTCCTTAGACATGTTGAAAAGAATAACAAGAGCTACTCAGAATCACTCCATGAAATAATGCAAGTGCTTTCTAACACACTTGACCAAATCATAGCCAAGTACGAAACAAAAACATAGTTATGAGAGCGTGTTGGATAAGGGACATGATGATTCTTCAATGTCCTATCTCACATGATGCTTTCTCTGAAAGCCAAATTTCATCTTGGGAAAGACTTCATTTTAAAGACCAAGCCCTAATATTACAGAATCTCAGGTTCAACAAAGAATCCAGAACATCCAGTTTTGGCAGAAATATTAATTAAGCCAACATTTGCTGATATCACTGGATGCAAGTACAGTATCGTGGAGAACATTACAATAATGGAGTCTCAGGCCTCAGTGCACCCCTGAGTGTGTGTGTGCCTGAGTGTGCTTCTGGATATGCTCCTGGGGATGCACATATGCAGATACACATGTTGTCAACAAATAAACCTGGCCACAAAAATTCCTTCTTCTTTAGAAGCCATTGTATTTTTGTTTTTATATGCAGCACTCTGTGCATTTCTGTAGTTGTGAAGAACTACATTTGATTAAAATCTGTCAGATTTATCTTTTTAGCAGGAGAAAAGAAATATGTGTTTCTCCAGAAAGGAAATCAATGTGTCTTTATGATAGATGCAGAGTGGAAAGTTGGATACTGTCACTTTAAGGATGAAACAGAAAGGCAGGGTAACTGTCGCCATTGGCTGCTGACATCACTGTTGTGAGGTAAAGCCCCTGTTTAAATCTTATAATCCTTGTTTATAGGATAGACTTACAGTCACTGACCTTATAGCTATTACTCCAACTTGTTAAGTAACAAAGTCTTGCATCTGAGGTGTCCTGAGTTTGCTTTGTTTAAATTTCCTTAGCAACATTTTTTAGCCAGAGCTCTGCTCTGCTCCTTTTCTGCAGTGCAAGAAAGATTGCATCCCTCCCCATAGGAAGGCATCACGTTTTCAAAGCCCCATAACTGTACCAGAGAATCTCCTTTCTCCAGGCAAACAGAAGGAAGAAAACCTGGAAGCAACTCTCATGCTATGCCAAAGGCAAATGAACCAGAGAGTGTCCCTGGAGGAAGATGGAGGATGCTTTGTGACACAAAGATGTCCAAAGGTCTCCTCCTGCCTCTTAGAAACAGCTTGCCTCCCTCCCCAAGATCCCAAAGAACTCCAGATTGAGCTATGCTGGCTAGGAAAGGAAGTATCTGCTCTGATACTGAGAGCTTATAAGAGTCTCTGCTCAGAGATGGCATAACCAGCAAAGTTGTACCCTCTTCAGGCAGTCTCAGAAATTCAAGTGAGAGTGGATGTCTTTGCAGTGTAGGTATTTGTACCTCTTGGGTTAAAACCCACGAAAGCATTCTAGTGTGCTTATAAAGCAATGTCAAGATCACTGAACTCACGCATCAGTTCAAATTGCCTTATCTCTTGTCTCATGAATGAAATCTGTCAGTATTTGAAGTGCTCATTTGCAATCAATTTCAGTAATCATGTTCAATGCTTATGCCTACATAAGTTCCTTTAAAATGATGTGTTGGGTTTTGTGCCTTAATCAATGAATGCTGCTAGAAGGGATTCTATTGACAAGAGCGTGCACGTGAGTGCTCCACATATTAACCCAGATCTGATTAAACCATTAAATGGCACCTAGCCAAGAGTGTAGAGCATAGTAGGCACTCATCACAGATTCTCTCTTTATTAATCTTTAAATATTTGTCACATTTATTTAACTGTATCTCTTCAACAGGTATCTTACAAAATAAATAAAAAAGAACAAATAGCTGATGCATTTTCCTAAGGCTAAAGGACTCTGTCTCTTTTGCCCCCAATGTCCACCCTCTACCTTTGCTTTGCCTGCAATTTTCTACCTACTGGAAAACAGAGTCGAAGAATCAGTTGACCACCATCACGCCATTCTAACCAATTGAAAGCCTTCCCAATTAGTTATACATATTTGTTAATTTGTATGAGTTTCTAATGATTGAGATACATTCTTGTTTTCTGGTAACAAACCCTGTCTACTAGTTATGCCCTATGCTTTTGATACACTGATGAGTTTAATTCATGAAGACAGTGTTTCACAGCTTAAGGACAGGGTATGTTCTGAGAARGGCCTTGTTAGAGGTGATTCTGTCCTGTGAACATCACAGAGTGTACTTACACAGATCTAGATGGTATAGGTCAATCAGGTGAAATGGCCTTTGATGCAATCAAGAGATGCAGTACATTTTTATATACAGTAGTAGTACACTGTAAAATAATGACAAAAAGTATAGTCTAGTAAAAACATGAACCAATAACATAGTCATTTAGTTTCAATATCAAGCATTATGTCCTGTGCATAATTGTATGTCCTACACTTTTAAACAATTAGTAGCAATATTTTATTTACATCAGCATGACCACAAACATGTCAGTTGTGCATTTCCCTACAAAGTAAGGACAGCTGTATCACCAAACCATAGGAATCATCAGCACCATTGTCCTCTCATTGGAACCTCATTGTACAGGTGGCCCGTCACTGACGCTGTGTTGTTGAGCACTGCATAATTKCACTTTGTCTGTATTTATTGGAACTGATATTCAAATTCTGTACTGTCCTTAGGAACTATATTCACCAAATAACTTTAATATCTTCCCTTTTTGTGTTCAAGTAAAATTTATATAATGCTGGAGTTAATTTTTTATATACTGTATCATCTATAAAACTACCTTGACCTGGTGCTTTTTTCAATGAGAATTCTTTTGCTTCCCATCTCGACAGCACTTGATCTATTCATGTTTCCCATCTCTTTTTTCTTGAGTTAATTTTAAGAGTTTGTATTTGTGGTAGGAAATCATCCATTGTTCTAGGATTTCACACTTCATTCTATACCGTTGCCTGTAGTATCCACTGGTAAGCTTTCCTATTTTCTCTATATCTGTGGTTATGTTTATTTTATAATGCTGTATTTATTTATCATCTCTGTCCTTAATCAGGCTTGACAGGGTTGTATCTAGCTCATCAAAATTTTCAAAGAAACTAATTTTGATTTCATTGACTTCTTTTTATGTTTGTTTTCTAGTTTTAGCTTTTATCTTTATTAATTTCCTTCTTCTGCATTCCTATTTTATTTTGCTACTTTTGAGTTTGAGAATTTTAAAACTTATTTTAAAATCTTATTTTTTTAACTATAAGATAATTTAAGGTTGTTACTTTTCTGTGTAAGAAGTCTGCTTGGATTGCTTATATAATATAATTTCTTTTGTTGTCGTTGTTCTTTTTTAGTTGCTTTTAAGTACATGACAGTGGAATGTATCACAATTCTTATTACACATATGGAACACAATTTTTCATATCTCTGTTTGTATATAAAGTATGTTCACACCAATTCATGTCTTCTTACCTGTACTTTGGATAATGATGTCCATCATATTCCACCATCATTGCTAACCCCCTGCACCCCTCCCTTCCCCTCCCACCCCTCTGCCCTATCTACAGTTCGTTTATTCCTCCCATGCTCCTTCTCCCTACCCCACCATGAGTCAGCCTCCTTATATCAGAGAAAACATTCACCATTTGTTTTGGGGGGATTGGCTAACTTCACTCAGCATTATCTTCTCCAACTGCATCCATTTACTGGCAAATGCCATGATTTTATCCTCTTTTATTTCTGAGTAATATTCCATTGCGTATATATGCCACATTTTTTAATTCATTCATCTACTGAAGGGCATTTAGGTTGGCTCCACAGTTTAGTTATTGTGAATTGTGCTTCTATAAACATTGATGTGGCCTGTAGTATGCTGTTTTTAAGTCCTTTGGGTATAGTCTGAGGAGAGGGATAGCCGGGTCAAATGGTGGTTCCATTCCAAGTTTTCCAAGGAATTTCCATACTGCTTTCCATAATGGCTGCACCAATTTGCAGTCCCACCAGAAATGTATGAATGTGTCTTTTCCCCACATCCTCGCCAACACTTATTGTTGTTTGTCTTTATAATAGCTGCCATTCTGACTGGAGTGAGATGGTATCTTAGAGTAGTTTTGATTTGCATTTCTCTAATTGCTAGAGATGGGAACATTTTTTCATATATTTGTTGATTGATTGAATATCCTCTTCTGAGAAGTATCTGTTTATGTCATTGCCCATTTATTGATTTTTTTTTTTGGTGTTTAGCTTTTTGAGTTCTTTGTATACCCTAAAGATTAGTGCTCTATCTGATGTGTAAGGGGTAAAAATTTGCTCCCAAGATGTAGGCTCTCTATTCACCTCACAGATTGTTCTTGAAACATTGGCCAGAGCAATTAGACAGACAAAAGAAATTAAAGGGATATGTATAAGGAAAAGAAGAACTTAAATTAGCACTATTTACTGACAATATGATTCTATACCTAGAAGACCCAAAAAGCTCCACCAGAAAACTTCTAGAACTAATAAATGAATTTGGCAAAGTATCAGGTTATAAAATCAACATCCATAAATCAAAGGCATTTCTGTATATCAGTGACAAATCCTCTGAGAAGGAAATGAGGAAAACTACCCCATTTACAATAGTCTCAAAAAATAAAATAAAATACCTGGGAATCAATTTACTGAAAAATGTCAAAGATCTATACAATGAAAAGTACAGAACCCTAAAGAAATCAAAGAAGACCTTAGAAGATGGAAAGATCTACCTTGCTCTTGGATAGGCAGAATTAATATTATGAAAATGACCATACTACCAAAAGCACTATATAGATTTAATGCAATTCTGATCAAAAGCCCAATGGAATTCATCTGGAAAAATAAGAGACCCAGAATAGCTAAATTAATCATTTGCAGCAAGAGTGAAGCAGGTGACATCACTATACCAGACCTTAAACTGTACTACAGAGCAATAGTAACAAAAACAGCATGGTATTGGCACAAAACCAGACTGGTAGATTAATGGTACAGAATAGAGGACACAGAGACTAACACACAAAATTACAATTATCTTATATTGGACAAGGTGCCAAAAACATGCACTGGAGAAAAGACAGCCTCTTCAACAAATGGTGCTGGGAAAACTGGAAATCCATATGCAACAAAATGAAATTAAGCCCCTATCTCTCACCATGCACAAAACTCAACTCAAAGGACTTATGAATTAAACCAGAGACTATGCATCTAATAGAAGAAAAAGTAGGCCCTAATCTCCATCATGTGGGATTAGGCCCCAACTTCCTTAATAAGACTCCTATAGTGCAAGAATTTAAACCAAGAATCAATAAATGGGATGGACTCAAACTAAAAAATTTCTTCTCAGCAAAAGAAGCAATCTGTCAGGTGAATAGAGAGGCTACATCTTGGGATTGCTTATATAATATAATTTCTTATATAACATAATATTATAAAATTATGTAACATTTTAGTCTAGGTTGTTCGTATCTTAGTTTTCCTCTTTGATCAGAGGATCATTTTAGAAAGTGCTTCTTAATTTTAAAAATACCTTCTCAATTTTTTTTTATGCCAGGCTCTACTTTTACTGAGCTATGATCAAAAAAGAAAAATGTAGACTATAAAACTTAACCCCCCCAAAAAAAAAAACTTAACTCCAACATATCACTATTTCTGCACCAACAATAATTCATACTCCTTGCAATATTACAAATTCCCACTTACATCATTATCATGACCTCTTGTTTCACTTCTTTAGGTCTTGAGAGCTCCACTTCATTTAAACATATTATCAGAATTAAGAGCTGTGAGAGTTGCAAGAAATGCAGGGAGTAGGGAAACCAGACATCACGGTAGGAGGAAATCATAATAATGCCACTGACAAGAGGAGTAAGATATCCATAACTTCAACAGTTACAGAGGGAGGGCAAACAAACAAACAAACAAACAAAAACTTTTCAGATTATCAGAGAGAGTAAAAGAATGAAGAGAAAATTAACTCAGTCAAGAAGAAAGAAAGAAAGAAGGTAAGGTAGGAAGGAAAAATAGAAATTAAATCTGAGATGGAAGAATTAAATAGATTGGTTATTACAAGACATGAATGCATAACTCCCTGTTAAATATCAGTATAGGTTTTAAAAAAAATCCATCTACAAAGTTTATCTAGCATTCCCAGCAGGAAGACAATATGAGGAGTATACAATGTGAATTTTCATGAAAATATTTTTGAAAAAAATAATATTTTACTGATCAGATGCTTCTTCGATCTCTTCTCACAGTAAATTTTATGTCACCATCTTTAGCTTTCAGTAGGCATTTATCTCTATACACTTAATTTCACTACGTTGTAACTTTCATTTGTAGACAAGTGTAATGCTGGTCCAATCTTCTATATACTTAACTAATCTAATGTCTCAATCAGAAATTATCATGAGCTTTAGAGGTTTAGGGAGCAAGTATTGTGCTTAGTATTTGGATTGTGAAAATTTTATTCATTTTGTTTTTTCTTTTCTGGGTATATAGAGTCATTGATCAGGTTCCCTGGGATGGGGATCTGTGAGCAGGCATTATACTGATGTGTGCTCCTGGGAATAGTGCCCTTGAGGGATGAAGAAGCAGGAGTGACTAAAGGAAGGAGCTGGGGTGTGAAGTAGCTTTAGCAGAGGTTGCCCCTGATCTTGTGGGAGCTGGGTCTGAATTAACAAATTGAGAAAAGACGACTGATCCTTGGCATATCCACATCAATAAGTCATTGGATATGGAAGGCACCGGGTGGGGGTTAGAGTGCTCCAGTCCAAAAGGGGCATCCAGGAAGGACTCCACAGAATCATCTATGCTAAATATTCAGGAATTTAATGAGAATATGTCAAATTGTATATTTTTGTTTGAATTTGCTTATTTGTTTTCTTTTTTTGTCTTTTATACTTGATTCTTATAATCACAAAACTAACATCTTCAGTTCAGTGAAATGTTCTTTCCCTTTGAGTTTGGGGATCACATCTCCATCTTTTTATTCTTTACTCCTGGATGACTCAGTATTTGTAGGTCAAATTTCCTAAATGTGTGCTTTTCATCTCATATCTTTGTACCCATGTGCTTTTGTCTTGTGGCATATTGTGCTTCGATTTATTTAATTTTCCAGATCTCTAATTCAATTGCCAGTATAAATTACACTTGTTGTTTTATTCATCTAATGAATATTTTAATTCAGAAATCATGACTTTAGGGTCCAAAGATCTTCATGGTATCTCAATGATACATCTTTGAGAATGCTTATTAGTTTCAGGTTCATCTTTCTCTCTCTCTTTTTGTTCTACCTCAATCATGAGTCATTTGTCCAAGCCTTTT